ATTTCATAAATTTTCAAGAATCTAAATTTTCACAGATAAATTCCATTCTATCCATTTACACAGATTAAGAAATATCTTTTCCAGATTAAGTTCCACCTGCTTATTTCATTTGCTATTGATTTTGATTAACCTCCAAAACAAAATTCAGCAACTATGATTCATGTTGTTTGAAGAGAATATTTGGTATAGAATGCCTTATATTGATGCAGCACAGAAATCTGTTTAACACACATGCAGTAAGGAAATGGAGGTATGAAGTAAACTGCATACAAAAAAACAACATGCCAAATGGCTAATGGATGGAATCAAATTATGACCCTTGACACACAGTGATGCAAATGACAAAATATCCATTTTCTTTAGCTTAGGTCGTTCATCCAAAGAACCTGTCTTGGTTCTAGGCCCTTCATGACATTCTGTAACAAACTTCTTTTTTATGGTGAGGAGTTGTTAACTCCACGCCCATGCAGAAATGGACATTAAATATGCTAATTTCAGGTCCGGTGTTGAAATATAATGTTGAAGAAATAACATTAAAATTTAATACTGAATAGTTAGAAATATAAATAAAAAAGATGACTTGTTTTTCAAGAATGAATATATTTCAGAACAGATTATTCAACTGTAATCATGAATGCAGGATCATGTAGTACATATTTGAAGGTCTATAGATTTAGTGTGTTTTCAGCCATTTATTCAGAGTAAAAATATGTTTATTCCCTTATTTTTCTACATCACTAACCATGCTGATGCCAACCTTCTCTTCTGCATTCTTCTCCATACCAGTATCACAAATAACAAGAATTTGTTCTTCTCAAGCTGCTTCCCTTTCAGAATTTCACTTCTTTAGCTAATGAATCATGTCCTAAATTAACAGCCTTCCAATCACATAAACCTGCTTTTCTCAGATAAGTTTCCATATCTTTGTTTGCTTGAGACTCTGCGGTGGCCTATCACAGCACCAGAGATAGCAACTATTTCTAGCTTGAAACCAAACTGAAGAATTTGAAGTTATAATTCATTCAGGAAACAAATATTCTGTGTTTAGTAAAGAAGTTGAAGTTGTATCATATAATTAAATTCAGCAAGTCTGGCTCTCATTTGCATGATAATGAAAACGGTCTAATGCCAAATTTATGGCAAATGTAACAAGTTCCAGCTAAGTCCAATTACTTATTTTAGGCCTGTAGTTCATGCAAATAATATTTAAAAATTCTGCTCATGCCTCACAAAGGAAACACTGGATCCATGTTACAAAGACCTATTAGTTAATGATGTTTAGATAAATAATGTTTATTCCAGGAGTCATACAAAACACACAAACTCTGTGGCTAAAATGCAGAGTAAGTGCATGAACCTATGGTAGGCCAGACTGTTGTAGGAAAATGCTCTAGACTTGTATTTTGGAAGTACTTGAATGACTGTCAACCTTGCTGCTGGCTTTCTCATTATCTCCAGGCAAATAAAAGCTGGAACAGTAGCTTAAAATGTGCCACACCTGCATCATTCCAAATCCTTACTCATCATTTGCATCATATTTCTTACCATCACTATATTTTTTGCCTGTCACATTTCAAAATAGCATCTACCGCAACCAGCATTGGTACAATGCTGCTAAAGCAGAATTCCTAAATCTCTAATGAGAAAGATACAAAAGAAACTTGCAAAATTAAAGAATATTTTATCCACAGTACAAACGGCTGAGCCATAGCTCAAGCGGTTAGTTGCTGGCTTCCCACCGTGGTGGCCCAGGTTCGATCCCGGGACTGGTCAAGTGGGATCTGTGGTGGACAAAGTGGCGCTGGGGCGGGTTTTCTCCAAGTACCTCGTTTTCCCCTGCCAATCTTCATTCCAGCAAATTCTCCATCATCATAATCACCCGTGGCAGGTACAATAGGCCAATCAGTGGCCACCATGTTGAGTGGACCCAGCTGGACTCCACCCCTCCACTAAGCGAATCCATAATACGAACATGTGATACAAAGTATATTGTTTTTAAAAACTCCCCATTATATGGCATGTATGTGGAATAGTGTATTCCTGTTATATGAGTACAGAAACCCAATACAGCATGAATACAGCACATTTTCGCTTTATTTCTTGTATAGTTGTCTTCATACATGACACAGCATATTGAAGGGTGTAAGATTTTGGGTATGCATGCTGCGATACAATCACATGCAATTACACGAGCAAAATTTAGAACTAAATTCGAAATATTATTCTTAAGGTTTTGACTGCAGTGTACTGGCATATTGACAAGGAAAGCTACGATATCCTGAGCAAAAATAGCTATTTCTGCCTGTTTTAAATATTTAGAAAAGAAAAATTTTGGCATCTCGTCAGGAACAATCATCGCTAATTTGTTGTTTGTCACTACTGAGATATCAGATCTTTTAGTAAAAAGTAGTAAATGGTGAGGAATAACATCTTCCACAAACCTTTTACCTTAACAACCTCAGCTATCGCTGGATAGTGTAGAAATATATCCAGCAAATGAATGTTTCCGAACTTGCAATGGAAGTGTCTGAACATGCATAAATGTAGGTTGACATCGTTACATAAAACCAGACAGGCTTGAACAAAATTTAGGTTTTTAAAATTCCCAATATTAAGTTCTAAATATAGACTGAAAATTGTGATTTGGAAAATTCTGCATAGTAACTTATAAGAAGCACTAATATCCATGCAATGTGTCCTTAGCGAAAGTCTGTCTCTTTGTAGGGTATAATGTATTAAACTAACTTTGTGGAGCTGAGCCTTTCTTGAGAAGCCACCAGTTGTGCAGCTATTAAATAACTGCCCACCATTTTATGGACCTGAAAATTCATTACCATCTTCACAAGAGCTCTTCACTGGTCCCTATCCTGAGTCAGATCAATCCAGTCCATACCACCCGCTAACATCTTGGTCTTCCTAGTGGTCTCTTTCCTTCTGGCATCCCACCATTGTCCTATATGCATCCTCTTCTCCCCATTCGTGTTATATTCCCTGCCAATCTCATCCTATTTGACTTATCATTCTAATTATACTTGGCAAAGAGTACAAGTTATGATGCTCCTCATTATGCAGTTTTCCCCAGCCTCTAGTCACTTCATTTCTCTTTGGTCCAAATATTTTCCTCAGCACCCTGTTCTCAAACATCTTCATTCTACTTTCCTCCCTTAATGTCAGTCAGAGACCAAGTTTTAAGCCCATACAGAACCACAGGCAAAATCATATGTTCCCAGAACTTTATGAGAATACTGTACAACACTTTCCTCCTAACTGAACTGTAGACTTTCTTGAAGTCTATGAATAGCTGATGTACTGTCTCATTGTACTTCCATTTTTTTCTCTGGTATCTGATGAATTCCACTGCCAGACAGTGGTCAGTATCACAGTCTGCTGCCATGAACAATTGGATATCAAGTATAATTGAATGCCATCTCCAATCTATCAAAATATGGTGAAAATAATTGTCAGCCTTTCTGTCAGGAGATGTCTGAGTAAATTTATGCATGTTACAAGGAGGGAACATTGTGCTTTTGATTCAGATTTTTGGATGAGGCAAAGTTTACCACTCTATCATTACTAATTTCCTGCAAACTCTCATTCCCAATTGTTGGCTTGAAAACGTCTTCCATACCTACTTTGGAATTGAAATCTCCTAACAAAATGTTCATATGGTTAATTTAATTGAGTACATGTTCTAGTTCCTCATAGAAGTTGTCCTTCTTATCATGAATTTTATCTTCTGTTGGTGTATGAACGTTAAGAACATCATCCACACCAGCAACTACTCAGTCTTATACATGACATCCTATCAGTAGCAAACTCTACCCTCTGTTATATATGAAAAAGCATGTATCTAATTTATGATTCTCATTCTTCTTTCCATAGAAAAATATTTATATGCCTGCTGATCTGGTGTACACCTCTGTCCTATCTGACCTTTTGTACTCCCACTAAATCTATTTTGTTATTTCTTTCAAAACTGCCATGAGAGAACCAGCCCTATACAGACTTCTTACATTCCACAAATCAAGTCTCAGTGTATTATACATGTACAGTACAAATAAAATTCACAATGAGCAAGCAGGTGTAGTGGAAATGCTGCAGACATACATCAAGGAGATATGTTTTGAAATTTATGAGCTAGCCTGATTGAGATTTTCATGCGAGATCCAAGGTTCTCACAGCAGTGACTATGAAGATTATCATCTTCAGGGATGTGACACCTCATAGCCTGGTAGATCATAACACGGTCTACCCTGAAGATTGAGGCAGTACAGTTCTCCAAAATGTCAGAAACAATCTAGAAGGGTACACGGTTTCACATCCCACACAAAAGTATCTGTCTGAGGTTTACATAGCTTTCATCTGCAAAAATTAAATTCACCTTGGTGTTAGGTTATGGCAACCTATTTCTGAATGACCACATTCTGTGATTAGCTTCACAAACCTGCTACTTTATTCCCAAGCAAACAGCCCTGGTCTCCATTGTATATATGAGGCTGGGTGGACATGGTAACACCATAGAAATTATAACAATGAGAAAAATAATTTCTCACTCTTGCCCAGAACTGAAACCCAGTCATACAGCACATGACCAATTATTCTCTTCAATCCATTATCCTGACCCATAAAATTTCAATATGCATCACATAACTTCGGATCATCAGAAACACCATGTCACAACAGAAAACTATTTGTGTCGTAAGTGGAAGTTGCTCCAGCGATATTCAACTGGATGTAACATGGGATCAATAGTGCATAGAGAATTCCCCATATTACAGTTGCAGGAAATCCAAGTTGCGGGATATTCAGAATTCACTTGCAGAAAATCCGCATGACAACTTACCACTGGAAAAGGAAAAGAACGATAAACACTTTGGAACACAGATGGAACTGGACTTGAGATACCAAAATTCTTGTTTTATTTAATGAAATCAAAAATTCATAGTTGTACAATACTACCATTCATACTTTTAAAATAATTTGCTATCAGAATACGAACATTAGACAACTTGAAATACTTTTTATTTCCAAATACCAATATTCAAATGGATACAAAAAAATTGATTTGTGCACATGTATCAGAAATGCAGTCTTAACACCATGACTAACAATTATATCATAAAATGCTTTATAAATACAATTACTGTTCAATTATTTTTCCCTGTAAAATGATTCAACGTTACCATAATTCTCCATCAGCATTAGAGGAAATGTGTATATGATTCAAAATTTAATTTAAATCTTCTCTTCTTTATATATAACCCTTCTACCAGACGCAATAAATTATTTGAAACAAGAGACAAAATTTCACTTCAGAATTTGTAACATTATTCAGCTAAATTCAAAACAATATATTGTAGAATAATGCTAAATCACTCATAAAAATTATGAAGCAATGTGTAAAATGTGAATATTATCAATCATAACATGTTATCAAATTCCATGCCAGAACTTCAAACTGTAATTTATACAGCATTTAATACATCTACACTGTCCAGTTTTACAGCATAGGAGATACACGTATATTCCATCTTACGAAGCAAGATCAAAACTTGGCATTCACAGAGACATGTAACAGGACAGCTGTAGCTTCTCTCTCGCTCACTCTCACTTCAGTCTTAAACGGCCTTGTAGATTCTTGTGCACACAATGTCATCTACTGTCAGGGTCTGAAACAAAGTTCATCTTCAATGTGGATTCTCTCTTAAAATAAAAACTTGCAAAATAAAATAAACTGCACTATACCCCATCAGATATTGCTTATTCACAGAACACACAGAACTAATTAGGAATATTTCTCTCTGCATTCCCACAAACGAAGTTACCAACATGGAATAACAAAGGATTACTGCCCATTACTTTCACAGGTCACACCACATGTAGCTGGAATTACTTAAAATATAATTATGCTAGTCAAGGTGGCTATGATAACATAAAAGAAAACAAGCTTTTTAAATTAATTATGACAGGATTCCAAATCTGGCCACAACAATTTTCTTACGTCAACAAAGATACCATACGATTCAACAGACTTCTAACATAAAGGCTCAAATTACATAAACACATAACAATCAGCAAGGTAAATCTAAGCAGACATCATTTCACAAACCACGGCCAGCACATGAACTACAAAGGAAAAGAAAAGACGTGTCAACAGATAGCAGAATTGGTACAACGAAAGATTGGGGCAAGAGCCAAAAATGCTATACCACTAGAATACAAGGAGGGAACTGTGCATGAAGAGGCCACGTCAGGAAAACCCAAGGAGGAGACTGCAGAAAGCCAAGGGAATGAAGCTGATGAAACATTAGTCGACCCATCCAACAGTGTGGCACCACTGGAAGGATAGCAACATCAGGAAATTCAGATGTCAACTAGGAAAAGAAAGCTCCCAGAAAAGCTAAGTAAAGATTTTTTATAGATAAGAATAGTACTGGCACTTCCAAGAATACTAATAAAATAAGAGCAACCATCCAATTATTACATCAAAATATTCAAAGTCTAAACAACAAGAAGCTGAATATAGATGTGCTATTATCAAACAAAACATTAGAATCAGATATACTCTGTATCACTGAACATTGGTTGGATGAAAGAGAAATAGATTATTATAACTTTGAAAACTATTCCTTGATATCAAAATTCTGTAGGAAAAATAAATTGCATGGAGGCTCACGCATTTATGTTAAAACAAATCTAGATGCAAACCCCTGTAACCTGTTTGAAAACTTAAATCAAGAAGAACACTCTGAGGCCAGCATAATTGAACTTATACAACTTAATACTATCATAATCTGTATATATATAGAACCCCTAATATCAATATCAACATCAACATATTTATATAAAAACTTGGACACATTACTTAGCAATCTGACCAATAAAGGAAAGAACATTATTATAGCAGGAGATCTCAATGTAGATTTTTTAAAAAGAAGTGTTAATCCACAACTACAGACAATGCTAGACTCATATGGCTTGCAGGCAATAGTTGATGTCCCAACAAGAATAGGACCTAAAAGCCAAACAGCCATAGACCAAATAATACTAAACAAGGGCTTATGGGAATACAACATTAAAGCGGCGGAAACGGGGCTCTCTGACCATAATGCCCAAATACTACAAGTCCAAATGCATTATGAGAACAAAAAAGGACAATGAAGAAAGCAGTCTTCTGGGATTTGGCACCGTGTATATGTGGTGTTAACCGACGTTTCGGAGGAACGTATCGCCCCCATCTTCAGGGTTGAAGAAGTATAAGTAAATCTGCAAGCGACAACACCATGAGACACGGTCGCTTGACCGTGTCTCACGGTGTTGTCGCTTGCAGATTTACTTATACTTCTTCAACCCTGAAGATGGGGGCGATACGTTCCTCCGAAACGTCGGTTAACACCACATATACACGGTGCCAAATCCCAGAAGACTGCTTTCTTCATAGTCACCGCCGTGAAAGCCTCAAATCTTACAAAAAAGGACAAGGTAGAATAACTAAAGAGTTCAGATTAGCCAGATCTTATAGTGAGGAAAACGTACATTATCTAAACTATTTACTAGGAAAAGAGACCTGGGAGCCTGTTCTTAAACAAAATGAGGCAAATGATGCATACAATGGATTTTTAGGCATCCTTCAGTACTATCACAATATAGCTATGCCTAAAAAATGGGTAAAAATTAAGCAGCAAAAAAAATTAGTGGATTACCTTAGGCATAAGGGTATCAGGAAACAGACTTAGGACTCTTCATAGCTTAATTAAAGAAGGAAACACATCTGAAGAACTTAATGCTATAACGAGTACAAAAAAATATACAACAAAATTATCAGTCAGGCTAAAAAATTAAGCAACAACATGCAAATATGATCATCCGGGAACAAATCAAAAGCCATGTGGGATTTAATCAAAGAAGAATTAGGCAGTCAGCAAAAAGTTCCAAAGAACACTGAATTAGGAGTGAATGGAACAACTATACAGGATCCAAAAGTTGTAGCCATTGTTTTTAATGAATACTATACTAACATTGCCCAGCACATCTGGAGTAACAATCGGACAGCACAAAACAATGAAGACAGGATCAACACAATAAAATACAACAGCAATAGCATGTTCTTAACCCCAACCACTGAAAGGGAGGTGGTAGACATAATTAAAACACTGGGTAACAAAAAATCAACGGGCATTGACGATATTCCAGAGTTCATTATTAAAAAATGTCATCATCAACTAGTAAATGCTCAAACATACAGCATAAATCTGTCATTTTCATCTGGTTATTTCCCCCACCAACTGAAAATAGCAAAAGTGAAACCCCTCTATAAGAAAGGTTGTACTGCAGATGTTGGGAATTACAGGCCAGTGTCATTAATTTCGGTTTTTTCAAAAATAATCGAAAAAATTATGCACAATAAACTTTTATCATTCATAAATAAGTACAGCATAATCAACAATGAACAGCATGGATTCTGCAAAGGAAAATCAATACAGCAATCACAGAATTTACAAAAAGGGTTTACAAAATACTAGATGAAAAAGAAACGAGTATAGGGATATTTTTGGATTTATCAAAAGTGTTTCACCTAGTAGATCATGATATATTGCTAAGTAAGATGGAAAGAATGGGAATACGAGGGGTTACACTAAGGTGGTTCCAAACATACTTAGAAAACAGAGAACAAGAGGTAGAAATTACATACAGATGCAAAAAAACTAATTGTAACATTAATTACCTATCCCGAAAGAGACCCATCAGCTATGGCATCCCACAAGGTTCCATTCGGGGACCAGTGTTTTCTGTTATACATAAATGACTTGGAGGCCAGCATAGAACATGGGAAATCTACATTCTTTGCCGATGATACTAGCATTTTTATAGCAGTAAATAGCGCTAATGAAATTCAAATGAAAACGAATGAAACAATAAACAAAATCACAGAGTGGTTTGAGAGGAATCGATTAACTATCTCATTTAAGAAAGACATTATTTCAAACTACATTATAAGTGATACATTCATATAGCATGTACATCCATATATGTTGAGTAAAAAATAGATAGAAATGTGTTTATTACAACTTTCTGACCATCAGTTCTGCAAAAAAAAAAAAAAAAAAAAAAAAAAAAAAAANACAGCCTATTTTGTACATGTTATCAAAAAAGTGAAAATTATGCTGTGCTATCAAGAACTAGGTTATCTTTTGAAAATTAAAGAATTTATGAAGTCAGCTGTTCAAAGCTTCAGTTACATTCAAAACGAGTTACCTTCAACTGAGCACTGAAGAGGAAATATCAAAGTTTAATACTTACTTACTCATGGAGCTGAGTCCTTCTGGAGGAGCCACCAATTCTGCAGCTACTCAAGAATTTTCCAGCATTTTATGGAAGCCGAAGGTTCATTGCCGTGCCCAAAAGAGTGTAACCGTCCTTCTTCGGTTCTGCTAGCTCCGGTAGAGCAATNCTAAGATCCATTCTAATATAGTCCACCCACCTATGCCTTGGTCTTCCCTGTGGTCTCTTTCCTTCTGGCTTTCCCACCAACATTCTACATGCATTTCTCGTCTCCCCCCATTCGTGCTATATGACCTGCCCACCGCATCCTCCTTGACTTGATCATTTTAATTATACTTTGAGAAGAGTACAAGTTATGAAGCTCCTCACTATGCAGTTTTGTCAAAGTTTAATATTCAAATATAATAGTGTCATTCGAAGTGGACTCTGCTGAACTTACCATTTTAACTTCATCATCACTAAATTCTCTAATAATGGTGGTTTCCTTCTCTCCCTTTTGCACCTGGACCAATTTGTTGCCATCCTGGGTAATGGTAGTTTTCACTGAGCGACCGTCTGGCGTCTCCTCTTGAAATTCTTCTCCCAACTTGAAAGTGATGGTTGTATTTTTGAATGTGGATTGTGATGTAAGGGTGTATTCATCCCCATTCTGCGTCAGTTCAATCACAGGACTCACAGCATTTCCCATTTTGCGGACAACCAGTCCCACACCTGCAAAGATGTCATGAAGAAATAAGTCATTCTCACTCTCTGTATCTCTTTCAACAGAATCTTGAACTTGCCTATGAAATAAAACAAATCAGAATATTTTAAGGTGGTTTCTGCCATGGGCAAGAGGAACAGAAGGTAAGGTATAAGAAGTAGGGACCACGAGCTCCTATGTCAGTAAAGAATATTTCCAATATACTGTAAAATATTAACTGTTAATTATCATGATATTTATAAACACAAATATCACACAGAATTTATACTCTTGCACTACTTTTAACAAACAATCATCTCTCTTCTTCTGCTGTGCCATAAGTTTGCTTTGTAGCTGACTTAAGAGAGGTATATTAAAATATGACAACTTTATGCTCAGTATTAAAAGATATATAATTTGGGACTGTTGCCTTACAAATAATCAAAAAGAAACAAAACAGACACTACTGTGTCAACATTTGTTTTTATTCGTTTTTGGTGGTATTGCTACATGTTTTGATCCTTTTCTTGGGTCATCTTCAGGTTACATGAATACTATTTTACTTTCTGAATTCGTGTATGCCTGAAGATGACCAAAGAAAAGGGCGAAACGTGTAGCTATACCACCAACAACTAATAAAAACAAATGTTGATACAATAGTGTCTGTTTTCTTTCTTTTTGATTATTTCTTGTGTGTGTCCTAAATTATATTTTTTCATAAATAACACATAACAGGATGCATACCATAAAGGTTTACACTCAGTAGCATCACCCTTCTAGATTGTACACTCTTATTTTTCAGTTACCCTTTTATATATACCAACAAACAAATCCATACATCCCCCAAAAGGTATGAACGCTTCATTAGAATGGTCCTGACCAGGTTTCCCATGAAACCAAAACTCCATAAAACAGGGCAGCAGAGTACTGTTGTCCCTGTGCCTGATTAAGCACCACACCAAGAATATACGTGTATATGAGGGGCCTGGAGGTATAGTTCAACGAATTCTTAACGTTGATGCCATATGGAGGTAAGCAGTCAGCTTTAAGCTTCCTTCATATTAGCCCTGGGGAAAGGTCCCTCCATACTCATCAGGAGTCCTGGCCCCTACTGAGAATCGAACCCCGGGCACCCTGCCTGTAGAGAGTCAGTGTACTCTATTATTCCGGCTTCTCAGTAGGATAGCACTTAAAATTAAAATTCTGAAGCAGTTCAGCTACTACTGCTTATTCATCTGCCATTCTGTACAGCTGCAAAATAATTGCAAATTATTGAATTGTTTGAATTGCAAAAGTCTGAAAATGTATCAAATAACACACCTGTACCTTCGAGAGACCGAGTAAACGGGAAATGAGGTAGCACAGTGAATTCAGTAGTTCTGACGGGCTGAACATGGAGGTTAAATAAAGAGGCATGAAAACTAAATTCTGGCAGCCAAATTTCTTGGGTAGTAACATATGAGATACCATATCTCGTGTTGTAATTGCCAACAACGGATATATTTCTATGATAATATTTTGGTATCCAAAATACACAAACAGCAAATTCCAAGTCAAACTAAACAACTGGAAAATATTCACAAGACTTGCAGCTTCCAAGGCGAGTAAGTGAAATGATGTATTATTCACCGATAACCGTGTCAAGATGGGATGGATTTCAAACGATTCGGAAACCATCACGTTTTCTGTCATCTTGAACTGATGGAAGTAAGGTCGCTATAGGCTGTATGTGTAAACGTACTCTACAGTGGCGCCACTCACCACAGAGATCACTGATAATGAAGACTCTATTACATCTTGACATGGTCAATTGCCAAAGGCGGCTTCACGGAAATTACACGAAATGTCACTATACACATTTCTCATTCTTGCATACTTCGTAAACTATTAGGCAGTTACTAAATTATATTTTCAATATATTTCCGATATCCATATGCCAGTGGGAAATTCAAACATATCGATATGGGTCTTTCTTCCGTAAGGCTGCCTACACTAGGTACACCGTACCCTCGTTATAGAGTATACGGACGTTAGTGTTAAGTTATGCATTAATCGTGAAATTAAGTCACGCATATCAACAGCTTTCCGTAAAACAGAAGCTTCTTACTACTTCAGTATGAGTCGTTATCTCAGATGATAAGCACGGAAAATAAACAGTGCGCCCATCATATTTCTTGCCTGCTTCAAGCAAACATGTACTCTAACGTTACATATCTATTACACAATTTTTCAAGTGGAAGAGAAAACTGTATAATGTCTACACTTACGGCAGTCAATCCAGCTCGATAACTGGGACGGGATTTTTAGTCTTGCTCCACTTTTGACAATCCACCACGAGTGACAACTGTACTGTTGTCCATGTTACTCGTATCACATGAAATGTCAACATAACCGATTCATCGCGTGTATTACTGGCGACACTAACTGTAAGTGTGTAGGTAACATAGGTATCTGTGTGTGGATGAATCTGACGTGCCTTTAGTGACAACACTTTTCTTGTTCCACCGCAAAAGATAATCCATCCACTAAAATTATAATCCCTAAGTTTGTGTATATGCAGATTTACATTCGTGCCATGTCAAATATAAACCGTTGGTGATCTCAGCTCTGCAACCTGGGAAGGACCTACTAATGGTTTCTCTTGCCACACGTAATCAGAACTCCATGGTAACAGAGTCCTTCTTGAGGAGCCGCCAGTTGTTCAGACACTCAAGAATCTCCCATCATTTTGTGGAACCCGAAGGTTCATTACCGTGTTGACAAGACATCATACCAGTGGTCCATATCCTGAGCCAGATGAATCCAGTCAATCCATCCTATTTCTCTAAGATTCATTTTAATGTTTTCATCCTGCCTATGTCTGCCTTCCTAGCGATCTTCCCTTCAGCCTTTCCCACGAAAAACCTGTATGCGTTCCTCTTCTCCCAATACATACTAGATGTCCTGTCCATTACATCCTCTTCTACTTGATCATACTAATCATATTCAGTGAGGACTGCAAATTATTAAGCGCTTCGCTGTGCAATTTTCGGCAACCTCCCGTCGTTTCATCCCTTTTTGCTGGAAGTTTTCCTGTACCAAACGTAATCATGAACGGGCGAATCGTGTTCATTACTACGCTTAACGCGTATTAGCATCAGGATAATGTCAATACAAATACGAGTATAGGACAAATGTTTGAGAAAGGGTTGGCAAGCGATTGGTACTGAAGTTAAGGCTGATACTGGTCACTCCTTTCAATATATTCATATATCTGGCAATCCCATAATTGTAGCTCTCAGAACCCACACACGTCAAGAATGGAATTGTGTAAAATGGTGTGGGACAGTGCATTCGGTATAGCGACTGACTACGGGCTGGACGACCGACGGGTCGGAGTTCGAGTCACGGTAGGGTCAAGAATTTTCTCTTCTCCACGTCGTCCAGACCGGTTCTGAGACCCACCCAGCCTCCTATCCAATTGGTACAGGGGGCTCTTTCCTCGAGGGTAAAGCGGCTGGGGTGTGAAGCTGGCCACTCAACTCCAACTAGCGCCGAGATCAAGAAAATGTGGATCTATACATCCACTTCCCCATACGCCTTAATGGCGTAGTGCTTAATTCGTTATGTACAGGGGCAATTTACCTTTTAAAATGGCGCAGCAGCATACGCTTACACGGACCCGAACAACAAGGACGGCTCATATTACTTCTTAGTCGTAAGTAATTTTTGATGTTACTCTGACACCTGGTCCTGAAATTTCGTCGTCCTTAAGAGAATGGTGCTTCCTTACGAAACGTGCCTGGGGTATTAGGAAGACTGTCGAACAATTTCCAACCTCAGCGAGTTTTGAACAAATGAAATTGCTGACAAATAATTAATACAGAAACCACTTCAATGTAAAGTTTTGCAAGTCGCTAGATTATAATTTTTTTTTTGTTTGGCCTTATAATGAAGCCTTCGGTAATATGCATACAAATTCAAACTATTCTTGGCACTACTGAATATTTCTAACACATTTCATGACAGTTACAACGATTGGGTTGGCAGCATTCCTGTTTCATATTCCCGAAGTCCCAGGTTCAAATCTCGGCCAGGAGACCGCCTATAACGACTGAGGTATATAATAGTTTTCCTCAGTTAGTCCTGGCAAACGCCAATGTAGTACCTCAAATTAGGCTATGGCTACCTCCTACCATGATCTTCCCAATTCATTATTCACTCGACGATGTAGAATCTGAGCTACTGTAAGCGTCATTAAATAAATAATAAATAAGAAAAGGACACATCAAACTGTCTGACATAAAACAAAAGAACTCCGTGGCCTGTAGTCCGCAATCGAACTATTCCGACCGAGCGACCGCCGCTTGTGGGCGAAGTTAGTGCCAACTTTTAGCGGACAGAGGGTGTCACGTGGTCAGCGCACAGAAACCCTACGGCCATTAATCTCGGTTGTCTAGACCGGAGCCGCTATTTCCTTCAAATGACTCCTCAATTATCATCACGAGGCAGAGTGGATCCCGTTCCAGACCCACTACTTCTCAGAAAATCTGGTAGAGCCGGGAATTGAACCCGGACCTCTGGATCTGTAGCCAGGAACTCTGACCATCACTCTCTTTAAATCCTAAATGGCGCGTTGATCCCCAAGCGCTACAGGCATAAGAGCTTCACGGTTTTGCAAGAAATGCCTTCCTACAACAATCCTACAACAATCGGCTGCAGCGAGGGATCCGACGAAAGTTGCCAAGTCATGATTTCGTTACACCTGTTGATCTATTTTCCTCAGCGATCATTCGGCCTAACATATAGTTTTGTGCCGTGTCCTAGCTCTGGCGATTAGTCGCCGGCTTCCCATCGCGCCGGACGGGGTTCGATCCAAGGTGACGTCATGCATAATTTGTGGTGGATAAAGTGACACTGGGACACGTTTTCTCCTCCAAGTGGTTCGGTTTCCTTTGCAAATTTTCATTTCACCAAATGCTCCATACTCAACTACTCTCCGGGGCTGTTACATAGCTCAGTCAGTGGCCGATGTGAACTGCTCGAACAA